ACAAGAGTTGCTGCTTGCTCAATACCATGTTTTCCCATGGGGTTACGTATTTTGCCAGTCTACAGTTTCTAGTGAAAACATGTTTTAACTCCAACTCTGAGGGTTCAGTTCAGTGTGATGTGTGGATGAATACTTCCATGGTTTTCTTATGGGAGGGCTTCAGCCAAGTCATACTCGTCTGGCTTGCAGGGGCCAAACCAAAGTGAAAAACATATGGTAAGCCACGAAGGAGATCTGTGGTTTTAGAAATGTGTAGCAGTGTAATAACCACAACTCAGAGTGTATTTGAGCACTTGAGATGTGTGCCAGGTACATCTAAATCTCAGCTCAGAAGGTAAGGGGTAACTGTATCACAGGGACACACACATATATTTGCTTCTGCGAAATGTTTACTTTTGCATTATCTGGAAGTCGGGTTGTCTTTTTGTTAGAGCTTAAGGTTTGGAGTCATGAGCCCTGCCTTAGTCCCTGAAAGAAACTTCAAAATGCAGTGCATTTGAAAGTTTTATACTTAATTATCAGATTTTTTAGGACACCAGAGAGCAAGGGAAGGCAGTGATAGACAAGAGGTCAGAATGTGGATTCAGATCCAAGATGAGAACAATGGCTGAGCATGGCATTCCACCCTTCTTCCCAGTGTGTATACTCTGCAGTTACTACGATATTTTATCAGCTGGTCTCCCTCAGATTTTAACCGTTTTTGTGCTCTTCTTTTCACCTCTGAAAACAAGGCTTCCTTCAGAGTCACCGCTACTAAACAAGGATGCTGATAATTACAGTGTCTGGTAAATACTCTGAGCTTAATAACACCCAGAATTAGATGAAGTGAGTATACTGAGCATTGGTAATGTTATTAAAAGCTCAGTTTTTAAAGTTGGAGACAGGTTGAGAAGCTCGGGAGAGAAGGGAGCTTTTGGCAAAAGGAAATCGTGAAGTAGAGAAGAAATAACTGTGTTGAAGCCCTGGTGACCCTACACCAGTATGACAGTCTTGCAGTAAGGAAGGTGGATCTCCAAAGTGGGCTTAATCATGTTCTCTGGCCTCTGTCTTCCCAAGCTACTGTGACGAGCAGGACTTAAACCCAGATTTCCCAGAATCTCTGATCTAGGGATGTAGTGTGTGTGTGTTTATGTGGGGAGGGACCTTCATACTCCTCCTCCCTCCCCTCCCCCTTCCCATGCAACACACGCCACAAATGGGGAGGCGAATCTGTCTTCTTGGCATGTAAGCACTCAGTTTTCTTTCCAAGCCTTTGAGGTGTTAGAAGGGCTGTAATTTTGAGTATGACAAGAACAGTTAATCTATACTGTTTCACGTTAGCATCCATGTCGAAGCCCTGGTCTGTCTTGAAAGCCTGCTTCAAAACCTGCCTCCCCTGCCTGCTTTCTGGATTCCTCCCTTTCTGTTTCTTCTCCCCACTCCCAGCCTCGGAGCACACTGTGTTGAGCTCTTTTTATAGCACTCCCCACAATCTGCTCCTGCATCGGATTTGATGGTGTCTGTTTCTCCCTCATGTGGAGCTCCTGGAGACGGAACCTTGCCTTTCTTTCTTTTTTCTTGAGTATTCCTCTGTGGTGCCTGCCAGTAGATTTGAGACTGACCAGTCTGAGGTCCAGTCCTGGTTTATTAAGTGGTATGTTTAATTGCAAGGGATCTATAGCCTGTTCTTCAGAGGTGTTGATTTATCATAATCCCTGTATCATATAATTATGCTTACCTATTTGAATCTGCTTGCCGCTAATAAATGGTGGCCAATTGTTCATTCTTACCCTTTATACTTGCACATAGGTTCTTAATAAATGACTCTTGAATTAACAGGTATTTAATAATGATGTATATTTCTTAAACAGTATTTAAAGTAATGTACATTATTTGTAGTGGGAGAGTAAGAAAAGGCTACCAGGAAGAAGAAGCTGAGAAAAAATGAAAGATTTGAGATCTTATCACCTTCAAATATTTATTAAACAGTATGAAAGAGTAGAGAATCTTTTACCAGGAACATTATTTTTTTCATAGCTACTAATAGGTTGTGGTTAAATTTTTTTATATGCATTAATATTCATGACTTAGATTTATATCATAAAACTTTCTAGGTTGATTGTTCATTTTTCATTTGAAATTAGGACTTGAGATGTACCACGACAATTATGAATTTATTAATTGGTGCTTTAGTTATCATTGCTCACATGATAATTTGTTATGCTTTCAAAAATGTTTTTCAAAGTAGTAATGAATTGTATGACTGGGCCTTTTTTTAGAAACTTGAATTAAAACTTGTATTTTTAACTTTTAGTGACCTGTGCAATTTGGATATTATCTAGATATTTAAGATGCAAGATACAAATGTATTGGTTTTTAATATTTGGAGTTCCAGCTGTTCTCATATGTGAACTAGGAATTTATTTGTTCACTAAACAAATATTCGAGAGCCTTCTATGTGCCAGATGTACATGCTTCTGTGATATTACCTGTGTGTGTATGTGTTTGTGAGAGTATTGGGGCGGGGGGTGGAATTGATTCCCACTTGCCGGTAGGTGGCCTCAGGACAGGTGTATAGCCTAGGTTTTTACGTTACTGAATCTAGCATAGTGACTGACTGATAGTTAGGAAAGTGTTATTATGTAGATTAATAAATGGCTTCGGATGCAGAGACATATAAAGCAGCATACTGCCAAGGTGTAACATTGCAGTTGGACTGAGAGCCCAGAGCGTTCAGTTACCATGTTTCTTGTTGATGTAACATGTCACAGTAGGGAGTTGGCCCAGAGGAAGGAGAGGTAGCTGAGCGTGGATGGATCTCAGGAAAGACTTTTTGGATGACGTGCTTTTCAGGATGAGCGATGAGTGGGAGTTTCTCAAATACATGTGAGGAGGGAATGACATTCTGGGCCAGCATTTGTCAGGCCACTCAGATGTCAAAAGGCTTTATTGCGGACTTTTTTTCTGTAATGTAAAATGTGAGTCTAGTGGCAAGAGACAAGGGTGAAAAAGACAGATTAGATCCTAAAGGGTCTGGAATGCCGTGCAAAGGATGCATAGCCTTTGTTGCTTTAGTGGTTGTATGGAGGACATTGCTGTTGTTAGAGTCATAAAACTGACTGTCTTCAACCCCTACCCATTTCTCCTGCTGTGTTTTCTCACTCACTCCTAGTTTCCCAAGCCAGAAATCTGGGTATTTTCCTTATCTGTTTTGCTGTCGTGTCCCACATCTGATCAGTCACCAACTACCATCACATCTACTTCTAAATTTCTCTCCGATTCATCCATTTCTCTCCGTCCTCAGTGTCCTCTAGTTTACACTCTGTTGTTGTAACAGTCTCCTATGTGGTCCTCAGCCCTCCATCCTTTCCTCTCCACTGTCGCACTCTAGCCAGAGAGAAACTTCTAAATACAGAACTGATCTTGCTAGTTCCTGTTCACGGTGATCTGTGGTCTCCCGTTGCCTTGAGTGAAGTTCGGCTCCTTGACCTGACCTTCAGGACCCTGCAGCTCTGTCTCCAGCTCACTCCTCTGGCTGTTCCCCGATTGGTGCCTGCTGCCCTCACCATGCTGAGCTCTGTCCTTCAGCTCAGCCAGGCACTCTCGGCTCCCACCAGATCCTCTCAAGACTCACCTCCTGCCCTGGAACAGCCCTCTCCTCCCTCTGCTACCCTCCCTAGCCCTGTCCTTTGGGCTGTTGCTTCCAGGGAGTGTTTCCTGACTTTTCAGATCTGAATTTAGAGCCCTCACTGTGGGGACCTGCAATTCCCAGTGTTTGCCCAATTGTGACATATATGAAGCAGCATTTTAATCACTTGCTCGTGTTTTTCCTGTAAGAGACTAGGAATCCTGTGATGGTGAAGACCAAGTATAGCTTGTTTACTATTTTATTCCCAGCACTTGGCACAGTACCTGGCAGGAGTAGGTATTTATTGAGTATTAGATCCATGAATATCTAAAGTACCTATCCCCCTGCCCGCACATAGTAGAATGACAATAAATGATGGTAGATTTTATTGTTTACTGTCATGTACAGCAGCTGCAACTATTATTCAGTATAGAGGCAATAATCTCACATGTACAAATAAGTCATGGTAAAGACTGAAACATGGCCATTAGAAGTGACAGGTTAGAAAGTTATGGCTGATCTTTGCTAATAAACTCGCTGAGAAGTGGTGAGAACAGAAGCCAGTGCACAGTAGTCCTCCTTTATCTGTAGTTTCAGTTACCCCTAGGCAACTGTGGTCTGCAAATGATGCTACATCACAGTGCCGACGTCATTCACTTCATCTCATTACATAGGCTTTGTATCATCTCATATCATTGCAAGAAGGGTGAGTATAGTACAATAAGATATTTTGAGAGAGAGAGAGACCACATTCACATAACTTTTATTACAGTATATTCTAATTGTTCTATTATTGTTAGTTATTGTTAATTTCTTACTGTGCCTAATTTATAAATTAAACTTTATCATATGTATGTATGTATGTATGTATAGGTAGAAAACATAGTATAAATAGGGTCTGGTACTATTTGTGGCTTCGGATCCACAGTGGTTCTTGGACGTAGACCCCGTGGATAAGGGGGGACTATTGTACAGTGGTTTGAAGAGTAACAGCAAGGAGAGGAGCTGGTGACCAAGCAAAGATGGATTTGTAAAAATGGTTGAATGAAAAGAAAAATACTTAGAGCAGTTGTTAGAGAGGCAGTGGGGTCAAAGGAAGATATTTTTAGATGATGCAAGAATGCTGGGCCTGTTCATGGGCTGAAGACAAGAGTCCAACACGAAGGCAGGTGCAGAAACAGGTGTGGAGTCAGATCAGGCCTGCGAGTAGAAGCACTGGCCTTCACCTGAGGGAAGAAGGCATCTGGCGTAATGAGAGAGAAGAGGATGGGCGGGGTTGCAGGACTGTGTGCAGGGGCCTGGGAGAAACAAAGGTAGTGGTAAGGGTGATACAAGCGTGTTCAGTTCTGTTGCCCAAACTTCTTACCGTCTTTCTCTTTTCCTTCAGCTGTTCGGGGGACTCGTCTGGATTTTGGTTGCCTCCTCCAATGTTCCTCTACCTCTGCTGCAAGGATGGGTCATGTTCGTGTCCGTGACCGCTTTTATCTTTTCCCTCATCTTCCTTGGCGTGTTCCTCTCTGGCATGGTGACTCAGATTGATGCCAATTGGAACTTCCTGGTAAGGGATTTTTAAGTCTATTTCAGGAAAATGTGAAAAACTTATAAATATCTCCTTCTGTCCTGAAATGCCCGATCCCCTGTTCTATCTGTTGCCTCTAGTGAAAGAGAAAAGGTCGGACCACAGTGTCTGCTGTGTTGCCATGCGGCTGCCTTGCTGAACAGCAGGTCCCAGTTTGCGACATTCCTCTGCTGATAGAGCTGAGCAATCTTTCCTTTACTCCTTTATGAGTTAGATGACCTTTACTCAAAGACTGTTTTATTTCATTCAACAAATGAATTGTATTACAGTTATTGAACTATTGAACAGATGCCTTTGTTGAACTATTGAACAGATGCCTTTGGGAGATGGATGCTATGACATATATTAAAATTTTCCATTGATTTCTGCTTCAGATATTAAATGCATATATTCTTTTCAGAAAACGTTAGCTATATATTCTACTCTCCAGATACTTAGAAAAGAAAAGAGGATATTTTATATTTATTTTCAATTCTTATCCTAAATTAATAAGAATTGGTAAGTTTTAAGACATGAATTTGCAGTCAACACAGTTTTTCAAATTATGACACCATTAAATTGGATCAACTTACTTTCCCTTTCACCGTTTAATATAGAGGGACTCTTTCATGCTTGTGGTTATTCATGCTCTAGGACTATCTCAGAATGGCCCAAGGGAGCATGAATTCTAGTCCATGGTGGACAGTGCTTTAATGAAGTTCATGGAGAACCTCCATTAGGTTTTAGTCACATTTTGGTGGTTAGAAAATTTAATTAGGCCTTTAGTCAGACTTTATCTATCTTCCTTTCAAGTATGGTAGCATTTTATTCAGCAGCTTTAGGACAGATGTTAGAGGAAAATATTTGTTCTTGTCCTATTTATAGAGCATAAGGAAAACCGTCATCTCAAATGTTATCAGCACCAGTGAAGTCTAGCGAATGTGGCTGCCCATTAAACCCGCCCAAGGGCAGATGGCCCGGGTTAGTGTAAAGCTAAGGAGGAAGTGCAGTGCAGTGGTTACAGTCACGCACAGACTTTGAGGTTAGGTCTGGTTTGTTCAATAACTGTGTCACTTTGGGTAAAATATTGAACTTTTATGAATTTCAATTTCTTTCTCTATAAAATGGTAATAATAATACCTACCTCACCAGATGCTGTTATGGAATTAATGTATTATAAAGTGCTCAGCTTTGTGTACTATTTATAATAAGTGATCAATAATCATAATTCCTTAAACACGCTGAGGCTTGCAATTTAAAACTTTGAAAGTCTGTCTGCTCAGCCATAAGAAACGATGAAATCCAGCCATTTGTGACATCATGGATGGACATTGAGGGTATAATGCAAAGTGAAATAAGTCAGAGGGAGAAGGTCAAATACCGTATGATTTCCTTCATTAAGTAGTAGATAATAACAACAATAAACAAACACATAGGGACAGAGATTGGATTGGTGGTTACCAGAGGGGAAGGGGGGAGGGAGGAGGGTGAAAGGGATAATTCGGCACAAGTGTGTGGTGATGGGTTGTAATTAGTATTTTGGTGGTGAACATGATGTAATCTATGCAGAAATAGAAGTACAATGATGTACACCTGAAATTTTTACAATGTTATAAACCAATGTTACTGCAATAAACAAAAAATTAAAAAAAAAAAAAAAAGAAAGTCTGTTTCTTAGGTTGCTGATACAGTGTGTTCCTACATTTTTGCCTTGATTTCTCATTAATAATGAGAAAATATTTCTAATAATTGTTCAGGTGATGAAGATCAGAGGTCCCTATTTAAGTTACAGATAGATGCTTAATCTCCTCTTTCTAAATGCCTGACTTTCCCATAATAATATAGGAATGAATCAATCAATCCCTAAGGTTGGTTAGCGCCACCAGACTCTTTTAGTATCAGGCCCAAAGATGGTAATTGGCCAGTATGTGTATAGCCCTACTGGTACTTCGACGCTGGTTAATACATAGTCATTGCCCCAACCTACTACCTCTTCCCAGGTGCTGTGCTCCCCATGACCCTGGCCTTTCCTCTGGGACCTGCCTGGACCACCTAATAGCCCAGCAAGTAAAGGGTTAATACCTGGAAAAGTAGTGAGTCTCCAGGATCCTGCAATGCCCAGCATTCTTTCTAATTGGTTGATGCACATGCCTTACCAATGTTTAAATATTTTTCCAATATCACTCCTGTTTTTATTATACATATGTCCATACCATCTTTTTTCCTTTTGCTTATATTGAGTCTTATCTTTGGTATTGAGTACACTCATTAATGTCCTTCTTAATTTATTAGGTTTCCTAAATTTGTTTCCCCCTGATTTGTAGCATTATTTGATGTTCAGACAATAAAATGTAAGAGTTTTTTTTTTTTTTTTTTTGTTAAACCACTTTATGAGAGGAACCAGTGTAATTGGAAAGACCTGCTAGTCTATTCCATGGGTCACCTGCAGAGTTTATCCTGTGGTTTCTAGCTGGAGCAGTCTGCTCTTAGGGAAAAAATGGTGATAGCGACACACAGCACACAGAACAGCCTTGCCACTGCACAGCCTTGTCATATGATGGGCATACTTTCAAAGAACCAACTCTTGCCTTCAAGGAGTTTACTGAAATGCTTGCATATTTAGAAAGGGCTCTTTTTCTTTCTCTTCTTGTGTGATTTTCTCCATGCTCAGTCACTTTTTGACTGTTTGGTTGCTTTTGATAGGTTTTGTGATATATCTTGCACATTCTCAGCCAGGAAAAGTTTTGAGCTGTGCATATCATGGAGTTGTCACCAGATGGTAACAATTTTTAATTGCTGCATTCTGGAATTGTTAGACATTAATTGCTCAAAAAAATAATTGTTTCCTCCTATGGTAACAGTTCAGTGTCGTCTGTACACCATGTATGAAGGAAGCAAGGGTGCATTTTGATAAAGAATTTGTTTTCTAGAAGTATTTGTTGTGGGATGGTAACTAAAATATTTGTAGCTTCAAGCTTTTATTGATCATGAGATTAAATTAACATTTATGGTAGAAGTCTTCAGTATTTTCTCCCGAGCTTCTAACTTTGGTATAAATGGTGAAATAAAAATACAAGATGTAATAACATATATTTAATGCTAAAAACTTGCCCCATTCTAATTTACAGAGAGAAGCAGATTTTTATTTTGAGATGGTTTTTCTTTATTGTTTTTTTGTGGAGAGAAATAATACTATTTTGCCTAACTTTAAACAAAAGATGCCATATTTATTTTCCCCTTCTTGGGAGGTGGGGTGTTAAGGAAAGATATATTTTAGAAAAATAAGAGCTACCAAAAAAAATGTCCTGTACAATTAAACATTTCCCTTTATTCCCAAAAAATGTAGCTGGCACACATTTGATCATTTGCCTATTATGGACGTCACTTAATATTGCAAATGTCCTGAGCTAGACTTGTGGTCCCCACATTCATTTACTTATTTGGCCTTTATGACAGTCTTTTATGGAAAACTATTATCATCCTCCTTTTTACAGATGAGAACACTAAAGCTCAAAGTGACTGTTGTCCCTTTTTCATGCTGCTGTTGTGTAAACCAGGATCCCCCTACATACAAGGTAGCTTTTTTTTTTTTAGCTAGTTAGTGAAAGTTTGACCTTGAACTGAGGAGCAAAACATGGACTTGAGATAAGAATGTGAGGGGTGGTCACTTGTCACTGAAAAAAATCAAGCTACTCTTGAGGCTGAGTTTATCTGAGGAAAAGGTGAAGGCAACTGGGCAGCTCTCTGGGGTGTGTGAGTGTTGGAAAGATTGGCAAAAGAGCAGAAGTCTGTGAAGGTCTCAGAAAGGGGATGAGGACATCTGCCAGTGGGCAATGCCAAGGGCTCAGGACAGGTGGCTCACAAAGGGCGGTGCCCGACCAACAGCACCAGCATCACCTCGGAACTTGTTAGAAATGCCAATTCTCAGGTTCCATCCAGACCTGCTGAGTCAGGAACTCTAGGGATGGGGCCCAGTAGTCTGCTTTTTAACAAGCTTTCGAGGTGATTCTGATGCATGCTAACCTTTGAGAACCCATGGCTTAGATCTGCATTGTCCAAGACAATGAGCAAAATTTGTGGAAGACCTTTCTGCGCGCATCCCATACATAGCAGGAATTGGAATAAGATGTCCAGGATGGCCCAATATAAATGTGAGTGTAGCTCTCCAGCGGTGGGAAATATTTACTGAGCACCTAATATGTGTCTGGTCCTGTGCTAGGCCCTGGAAATACAATGGTGAACAAGACAGGCTTGCTAGTGACTCTCAAAGAGATTGTTGTAGTAGACAGTGGCAGTAAAGAAATGATTACATGATGGGTGCATTAATTAAAATTATGTTAATGGTCAAGAAGGGAATGCTCCGGGTACCAGAAGAGCATATGTGTCCTCTCGAGTCCACTGGGAAGCAGACTCTAAGATGGATTTACAAGTGCTAGAGATTTTCTTGTTTTTGAGGGTGTGGGGGGGGGAATAACACCTGTAAAAGATAACGGGGGAGGAAATAGGATACAGAAGAAAAGTCTTAGAGTGTGATGCAGATTGACAAAGGCTCGGCCAAATCAGTGAGAAGCTCCAGACCACAGCCTTCCTTTTGAGAGTCTTGTGTTGGGCAAAAGTGGCCAGTATGCCCACTGTGCCATAATGTGGCCTTGGCTCAAGCACAGGGGTAGATCCCAAGTCCACTGAAGCAAAGGTGTCAGCTAACTATACTCCTCACAGCTGAATGTCGGGTTCTTTCTTGAAGGGAAATGTGTGCAGTGCATGATTGTGGAGGCTACAGTCCACTTCTTGCACCATGCATATCCACTCTCCATTCATGGTTGGGGAGTTGCTCCTCCAGGGTTCCAGTGTGCTTCTCTTCCTGAAGGAGAACTTGAGAGAGAGAGGCTAGAGGGACAAACTATAGCTCATCTAACTGGAGTTGGTCTCAGGGACACAACTGGTATTCATTGTCTCCCTTTTCCACTAACCGTCTTAAACTCCTCTTGCTCAACACTTGTGTCTGCTGGTCTTGGTGGCTTACCTGATGGTGTAATCCAAACCCTCATTCCTGGTAACCATATCCTTTTTAGGCCATATTGCTGCCATTGTTCACTTTTAGTCACAGTTGGGCAAGAGAGTTCCAAGAGGGCCCCAGGTAGATCACCTGAGTTCAAAGCATACTTCTTCCTTCCCTCCTGTGTATCAGCAGCTGTGTCTTCTATTGATGATAAGGATAAGCTACCCTTGTCAAGATGGTGACTCCTCCTCTTGCCTTTTGGTCCCTGGGCACAAAGAATCCAAAGTGCACAGGCAACTGCCATAGCTTATAGTTCAATGGGATGCTTGCTGTACCCTCTAGCAAGAGTACACCCTTTGGGGACCAGCACCTCTGGTCATGCAAAGCCCAGAGTTGCAGGGACAGCAATAACAGTCTTTCATCAGATCGTTGGGAGTGTTGGTAAGTGGAGAAACCCCTATTTCCCATTGAAAATGGGGACATGTTGTAGAATGTAGAATTCTCTACATGTAGAAAACTCTTCTTCACTGTTTCTGCTGCATCCCAAAGGATGGCTGCACATCCTCACAGAGTGGTGCTCCAAGCTGTGCCTTCAGCCAGCCATTGCATCATGCTATCAGGCCAGCAGCTTCTAGATGGTTGTGAGGCCATTCCCGTTCTTCCTGTGCTGAGAAGTTGGTCCCTTGGTCAGATGCTGTGTTGAGTGGATGCCTGTGAATCAGGAATTGTGTAGGTCCCTGAGTAGTCGTGGTGGCTGAGGCTCTGAGGAAAGGAAAAGCAAATCTGTACTCAGAATGAGGGCCTGTTTTTGTGAGAATGAACCATTATGCCTTCTAGGAAGGAAGGAGCTCAATTTCATCAATTTGCTACCAGGTAAGGATAGTGCCATATCAGGGTCTCAGAGTTGGTCTCTGTTGCTGGCAGGTTCAACATTCAGAAGAGGCAGTAGCTGGATCAGCTTTGGCAATTAGGAGTCCATGCTATTGGGCTTTACATAGCCTCCTTCTCACAACTGTGGCCACTGTCTTCATGTGCCCATAATGCCAGTCATCAGGTGGCTGCAGACAAAGTCTGGCTAGCATCAGCTGGTCATGCCATTTTCTCTATGTGGCATTCCATGGCGGATGCTTCTGGTAGGCATTACCATGGGACAGAAAGATCATACTGCACTCTTCGTGCCTAATCCCATATGTCCATCTCCCTGCTCTATACTTCCTTGTCTCTGAACTTTTAGTCTTTTATTCTCCCAGGGCCCTGACCAACCTGCCAGACCATTTACCACTAACCGTGAGTCTCTGTGTATTCTCACCTTGGGCCACTTTGCTTTCCAAACAAAGAGCATGAAATGCTGCACCACTCGTAGTTCCACCCATTAGGAAAATATTCCCTAACCACTGTCTTTCAACGCCAACCCTGAATGTGGCTATAATGCACATATAATGTAGCTGCTGTCCCTTTTCACCTGCAACCACATGTCATGCCACCATAAACAAGCTCAGGTCTTTTATTTCTCCTTCAATAGACATAAGGGAACCCCTCCCCTAGGTGGCCATAGGTGTGAGCTGAGGAAGGAGGCAGTTCCATTCTGGTAGGTGATATGGGGGCCTGGGCTACCTGCTCAGGCAGCTGACTCGTGCCCTCCAGCCCGGCTCAGATTGCTCTCTGATGTGCCATTTCCATCTTAAGTAGCCTTGCTGTTGGCCTGCCTGACTTTATGCGTTGGTGGCTTTGATAGAACTCAATTCATAATGGGCAGTTCTGGATACTTAGTAACTTGGTGTCTCAAGATCAAGTGTTCCTTCTCTACAAGGGCCCAGGGGTACACCAGGAGCTGCTTTTCAAAGACATGCAGTGCCCCCCTGCAGGTTACATGCCTGACTCTAGAACTCCAGGAGCCTGCGTAGTGATAGCATACTACATACTACATCTTTTCCTCCAATACCTTAGGGTACATATGACCCTAAGGATAATATGGCTAGCTGGATAATATGGCCCAAGCCATATAGAGTTAGAGTGCAAGAAGTTTATTGGATGGTAACACCTATGAAAGATGAAGGGGGAAGAAACAGGATTGGACAGGAAAAGCCTTCACCACAATTCTATTCTAATACTCCTGAAAAGGAGGGAGGAGACAAAATTAGGCGGGAATAGAAATCGTATGTGAGGGGGTAGCGGGGGACAAGGCTAGGGGAAAGGTGCAAATAGTAATTGGTTGTGAGAAGAGGCTTTCCAGTCAGAGACAATATCATGTGTAAAGAGTATGAACCTTGAGGTATAGAGTGCTTTCTAAGGACCAAAATGAGGCCAAAGTGGCTGATGTTCAAAGAGATGTGACGGTGGCACCAGATGAGGCTGGTGAAGAAGGGTCACATCATACCAAGAGTTGCAGGCCCTGCCACCACACTTCTCCTGTCCCTTTTAAGATAAAAAAAAGCCATTTCTGAGAGTCTACCTCAGTAAAGTAAGTAAGTACCTGATGATCTCAAACTTATTTTTCTCTTAATCTTTATTACTAATTAAGATCTAGCTCTATTACATTTAATCCTCAAATGTCATGACATTTGGATTTTGACCTTCATCAATTAACATTTGTTGAATAACGACATGTATTTGAGCATTTCTCCTATAGATTAGACACATGACCAGTATGTAACACTTTTCTTAAATCTTTTGAAGGCATTCGTGGGTCAGTTTATAAATTAGAGGTGTTAAGTAGAAAACATTTTTAGTGCTGTACCTATGTAATTCTCACGCCTGGTTAGTTAACTTTGTCCTTATTGTTCTAGGCATGATAAGAGCAGTTCCTATGGACAGTTTTGTTTGCTGAATGGGCATTTACAAAGGCAGTGCAGTGTTCTGCTTTTGTAATGTTGCTGTATCAATAACAGACAGTTTGGTAGATAGGAAAGAAAGTGGGCTTTGGAACCAGACAGACCTATGTGGATTTGAGTTCTCCCTTCAAAAGTTCATCTTTGTGTGACTTTGGAACAGTCACTTAATTAAAAAAAAAAGAAGAAATTCCTTCTTTGTAAAATGGGGATAATACATGGTGGTTGTAAGGATGAATGATAAGGAATGAAAGTACCTGGTTTATGGAAGCTGTTAACAAAAACATGCAGCAGTGTGTTGATGGTATATTAATTCCGGTAAGACGATGTGAATTTTTTTATTTTTATTTATTTTTATTTTTTATTTTTTGTGAAGCAGATTAGCCCTGAGCTAACATCCGATGCCAGTCCTCCTCTTTTTGCTGAGGAAGATTGGCCCTGGGCTAACATCTGTGCCCATCTTCCTCTACTTTATATGGGACGCCGCCACAGCATGGCTTGACAAGTGGTGTGTTGGTCCACGCCCAGGATCCGAACCTGTGAATCCCAGGCCGCCGAAGCGGAGCACGTGAACTTAACCACTATGCCACGGGGCCAGCCCCAAGACAATGTGACTTTTAATAGAGTTATGCTTCACATTAATGCCAGCAACATATGAAATAACCTAATAATTGATTTTTGTATGAAAAGTCCCTATACTTTTTATATAAAAGAAGTTTATGATATATTATTTTTTTAGAATATCAGAAGATGTGTTATTGAATTCTATGATTTCATTGGTCTTCTGTATCTTACAGTGTATGGAGTGACAACCTAATGAATAAAAACAATAATTGCTCAAAAATAAAAAACTTAATTATAAAATGTGTGTATGTATTATATAACTATATAATTACTACAATAATATAGTTATGTAATAACTATAACAAGATGTAATTTAAATGTTATTTTACTTGAATTTTAAGGAGAACATGTTATTTCTTTTTTATATTAATTAATATTGATCTCTATGGCACCTTAATCTAAACTGAAATTATAAATTTTATTATAAAATTCAGTGTATCAAAAGGTTTGCCACTGTGCCATTTATAATGGGTCAGTAGATTTTCGTTTGGATTCTAATAGTTTGGCATTGCTAAAGTGGCCAAAATAAATTGTGAATGTAGTTAAAGATTGTTTAATTAAATGTTCTAATCTTCCTGATTGTACACTTCATCATTTGAAATGAGGAACAACAACAAAATCTTATTATTTTTAATTGTAGATGTCTCTCTTTTCCCTCCTTTTTCAGGATTTTGCTTACCATTTTACAGTGTTTGTCTTCTACTTTGGAGCCTTTTTACTGGAGGCAGCAACCACATCCCTGCACGACCTGCACTGCAATAGAACCATGGATCTGCAGCCGCTCTTGAGTGATAACCAATATAACATAAACGTAGCAGCCACAGTAAGTGTGTGATGAATACAGTTTCCCAGCGCTTCCCCTCCACTGTTGGGGTCTCCAAGAAACTCCTCAGGCAACAATAATTTTCTTTAATAATAGATATTAGCATTAAATATATAATAGCTATTTATCTGTACAATAACCTTATGAGCAAAGTACTGTTATTACCCCTAGTGCTGTCAATGATGAAACTGAAGCACAGAGAGATTGACATTCACGTAAGATTATAGCCAGTCCGTGGTAGTTGGTTGGCCTAGCCCAACAAAGTCTACTTTGTAAAAAGAATTAATTGTGCTTTTTACTTCTTGTAACTTCAGACATGGTAAGGGAGATTTGTTCTTCAGTGTTCAAGACCTATTTGTAATCCATTTTAATTCAATGAATATTTACCAAGAGCCTACCACAAGGCAGGTAATTTGCTGCGTGTTGGGGACAGGGATGAATAAGGCATAGTTCCTGCCATTGAGGAAAGTCCAGGTGAGTGGGGGAGGTAACTATGCCAGCCATTACAATAGATGATATGCAGATGAAATGCATTCCATGGGGAAATTTTTTTATACTCCTTAATTCATATACTTAAGTGAATTTGTCACTTTGTGTTGGCATAGGAAATTTAATAAATGATATACTGTTTCTGTTTTTATAACTTAAGGTGTCAGAAATTTAAATTATTCCCTGAAATGTCTTGATATTTAATGTGACTATATAGCAAGTAAGTGACCCTAATGTTTTACTATTTTATGTAAATAGCAAATAAACTGCCCAGGACTCCCCATATAGCCATTAAAATCTGTCTGGAACAGTGCTGTCCAGTAGAACTTTCTAAAATGATAGAAATGTTTGATATATGCACTATCCAATATGATAGCTACTAATTAATTAATTAAACTCATTCATTCATTTTAGTTAACGTGAGTTTAAATTTAAATAGCCACATGTGACTAGTGGTTATCATATTGGATAACCCTAGCACAGGTCTAGAGTCTGGATTTTGACGGGTAGAGGACCGATGATTCCAAGACCCACTATCATAAGCTTTCCAAGTCTCTGTTAGGATTTGTCAGAATTCATTGAGCATCTACAATGAATTAGACTGAAGGTGAGATTGCAACAGGAGAGAGGCATGGTTCTAGCTTTGAAAGGCTTATAGTTGAGATCAGTGATTTTTATACTTTCTTTTATAAGAAATGAAACTGTTTTACTCAATGAACTCTTACTTAATACCCAATAAATGTAGAAGGAAAAGCATAGATGCCATAGTTGGAGTAGGGGAAGATGGTCTTGAGTGATGCCCATCCTCTCTTCTCATAAGGCCACCTCTATCCACCTCATCATCTCTGAGGTACTTTCATGGAATCCTTGTGATCCAAAGGTCACAGTTAGAAAACCACTGGTTTTAACAATTTTACAAAGCAGAGAAAAGTTCAGCAACTTGGAATTGACTTTTTTCCAAATGTCCTTCCTATTAGTCATCAGTTCCCATTGGATTTTCCTTTACTACTTCCATCCCCTCCTTTTCAATAGGGCAGGCTAAATTCTCCTTACCTCCCTTGGATCCTTGAAGTGGCCCCAAATTTATTTATAGTTTCCCTGAGATCCTACTTGCATGAGACTAATAGGTGCTCAAGTACTTGATGGTCAGTGGTGAATGTCACTAATTTCTCACTAATATCCCTTTGCCCTCGGAGCCCAGTTTTCCATGTTCTCCATAGTGTGATTCTGTTCTGACTCTCCCTCTTCTGTGACTTTGTCCCTTGTATCCTTCCCTTTCTCTCTCTGCCTAAGTGAAGCCGCCTTAGTAAATCTCTCTGTGCTTCAAGTTCTACGTTAGGTCCCATTTCATCCATACACTCCAGTAGAAGTTAATCTTTAGTTTCTGAGTTTTAATAACACTTAAATGTATGAGCCATTCATTGGTGACATTATATTAGGTCCCTCACTTTTCTTTTTATTTCAGTACCTTAGAGAGAGGAAAATTCCTTTTCACTAATAATAGGTATCAAAAGTAGTCATTCTCATTCAGCAGACAATGTCTAGATTAGAGATGTGTCAGAGAGACAACCAACAGAAGAAGGGTGGATAGAACAGCCGAATGGTAATTATACTGTGAAAATGTTCTATAGGTGAATCTGATATTCCTTCTCAGAACTATAGTTTCCTGGAAAAGGATCCCTGCACTAAATCATGTTTTATCATATTTCATTGCTTTGTCTTCTGGTTTTCTATGGATCATAAACCCCAAAAGGGTGGGGACAATATCTACTATTTATTTATATGCACCAAACATACTAATATACACATAGTAGGTGCTAACGAAATCCTTGTTGAACACTAAGGACAGTAATTCAGTGCCGAGTACAGACTTGATGACTATCTCCCTTGCTAACCTGATGATTCATTTCTATGAGTTTTCTTTGTTCGGTTCTAAAGTCACTTTTCCACCATCACAGAAATGATTTGATACATCCTCAAGTCCTGATAGTTGCACTTTCCTTGGCTGTGAGATCACTGTATGAATAGACGCCTCATGATGAATTTTTGAATACCCGAAGGGGGGTTCACAAATACCTGACATGTAAGTCCAGTATGTGAAAAAATGTTCAAACTAAGGCTGTCCACAAATGAGAAAATTTTTAGGGGCTAGAATGTTTAAAAGGGCTAATGGTGTGAGGGGATAAAATAGTAGTACAAATCATCAAAAAAGGAGATGACTATAAGCCATTTTCGTAAGTGTTGAGTATCTTTAGGTAGTCTGCTCAGTCTTCAGATAGTTGTTCCTTAGGATGAGTGTTTTCTTCAAGTCAATGTTATAAATCTGATGTGAACTTCTGCTTCTTTTTTCTTAGATTTTTGCCTTTGTGACGACAGCTTGTTATGGTTGCAGTTTGGGTTTGGCTTTACGAAGATGGCGACCGTAACACTCCTTAGAAACTAACTGCCTGTGTGTTAGTTTCATTTGTCTACTTTATATGTCTGATCAATTTGGATACCATTTTATCCAGATATAACAACATTCCAAAAGTAATTTGTTTAGTATATGTAGAGAATCTAAGTACAAGCTTTGGTTCATTTCATGGATGGAATTTTAATTTTATTATGATGTTAAGCAGAGAAATGGCCTTTAATTTTACATCTGTCTCTTTCTTTCTTTTTTTTTCTTTGAAAGAAAATTTCCCTTTATAGCCATAAAATATACAGATATTGTTCATAAGAAAGGGGTATCTCTTTGGTTTAGTTGCTGCGTCACCTGAATTTTAATTTTAATAGGTAACTAAAATTCCCTAAAAAAAAAAACACATTTCAAATAGGCTTCCCGCTGAACTCTATCTTTTAGTATAAAACAGAGATTGGCACCTTTTTTCTATAAAGGTCCAAATGGTAAATATTTTAGGCCTTGTGGGCCATACAGTTTCTGTTGCAACTACTGAGCTCAGCTGTCACTGTATGAAAGCAGCCATAGACAATACGTAAATGAATGAGTGTAGCTGTGTTCTAATAAAACTTTATTTACAAAAACAAGCAGCAGGCTGGATTTGGCCTGTGGGCTGCATGCTAATGTTTGCCGACCTGTAATGTAAAGCCTCAGTTATGTGTTCTGTATTTTATTGAAATCCTGAAAAGTATAAAGTTAATTAGACAAGCCACATAATTATGCAATAATCACATGACCTTTGTGTTAATGATCAAATACTTCCCCTAGAAAGGGTGTATAGTTTCTCAAGCTAATTCAAGCAGAATGTTGGATACAGAAAAAAGTAATTTATGAAGTGAACCCTAGTTGCTTAATCAAACTAAAGGTCTCCTAGTAACTGAGCAAAACTCTCATCTGGCATCCTTAAAGTGAGATCTCTAGAGACCATTAACCACTACTGGAACTGGTATCTAACTACTTATGTCTTACTTTGGATTTATTTATGCTTCAGGATATAGCTGTTTGCCCTGTGCATGAATATATGAATATTTGTGTGTGGATATGTGAGGTTTTACCAAATAGAGCTCTTTGAAGAATTAACTTTTTACTTCTAATTATTTTACATTACTTTCTGAGTTACATTTGAATAGAGTATTGAATAGAACTTAAAGTTGTAGATTCTTACATGTTTTGATAATAGCCCTGACGTAAAAGCCGTGACATCTATGTTGTTTTTCATTGGTGACAGAGACACAAAATCAGTTTTAAAACAACAGTCATCACAAAAACTGTCTCTAGGTGAATAGCACAGAAAAGTATTTTAACCCACCTGTAGAGACCTTGGTCATGGAAAGGTGCCAAAATGAATCAGAGAACAAGTTATTGTTAGTCCCCAGCTCCCACCATGCTGTCCAAGCAATGTACTTATCTCTTGCCCCAGGAGGGCTACTTCTGGGAAAAGAGGGCTTTCAATCGTTCCATACTTTCAGCCCTTTGTTTTTTTCACTGAATCATCCCCTAAGAGTGCCATGTATAAATTGGGCTATTAGATCTCATGGAACGTAGAACAATCCTGAACGAATAGCATGATCAATGCTCAGTGATCAAATGCTATTTATGTAATAATCCCCTAGAAAGAAGAATCTTATTAGAGTTTGGTTTGTGATGTAATTATAAAGATAAAAGACATGTTTTGATTTGTGACAATAGGAAATCAGTCTTATGACTTTATACTCACATCATATCTTCTCTGTAATATCCAACTTCTTTTTCTATAATATCCAGCTCCATACCACACGCTTAAACCTGTATTATGAATTGTATATTACAAAGTCATAAATGTGCCATAAGGATATATAGTCCATTCTAGTTGGAATCGTTTAAAGTTAGTCTGCTAGATTTAGTTTTGAGATTGTATTTTTGTTTCCAAGGGGTAACAGGTCCACGCTTGGTGGCATTAAATTAAATGATTTCATGAAACTGCTTTGGTGGCACTTTTGTAAATGGATTGCTTTTAGATCATTAAGAACCAAGCCTAAAACTCATCTAACTGTGAATACTTAGATTTGTAGATTAATCGCACTCTAGATTTGTGAGTTGAGTGACAAAGCACTTGAACAAAAATTATGGCATTCGAGGATTTCTTTATATATCTTAGCTGTAAAAATGTTGGTTGGTTTTAAAATCTGGTAACTCCATGATGAAAAGGAATTTATTTTATAAGTGTTATGACTCTTAATAAAGTATTCATTTGATAATCGTTTTTGGTCATCTATTTTTTATACAATTCACTTTGAAATTCAGTTAAAGGTTTGATATAAACTTGACAGATTTGGAACTTCTAGACTCATAATATGTAAAAGAGTTCTTTAAACATTTCTACCTAAAAGATGGTCTCTTGGGAAATGTCAGTAAGTCTTTTTTCTTTGATGAAGGTCAGAGGTAAGTCTTTGAAAGTAATATTATAAAGGAAGTTTAAATTATACTCTATTTTATTTAAAAAGCATTTATATGGTGCTTAATGTATGCCAGGCAGTGTCCTAAGCATTTTTTCAAATATTAGCTCATTTAATTCTCATCATAACAACTCTATGGGGTAGATACTATCATCTCATTTTAAAGATGAGGGAACTAAAACATAGACCTTAAGAAACACCCAGGGTCAGGTACCTAGCAGGTGGGAAAGGTGGGATTTAAACCCCAGCAGTCTGACTCCAAAGTCTGGGCTCTTAATGGCTATGTATCCTTTAGTTCTCCCAGATTTTACATATTTTATATATAAAAATATAACCCTTTTTTCCCCCAAAGAAGTTTTTAGTAGCATGTTTAATAACAATTGTTTATGGTAGATGTCATCTTTTAGAACTTTTTTGTCATAACCTAGGACTCATGAGTTGAGCTATAAGACTTAAGCCAAACCTGCATAATAGGGAAAATGTTAGGCAGCTTTGGTCTGCAGAGATCCCCGGAATGCTTAACTGCCTGAATATTGCTCTGGTCCATTAATTCTGGTATGGACTATGGGGTTTCAGTTCACTCCATTGCCTTACGTGAGTCAGCCCTTTCCTGAATTAGCCTAGTTTCCTGATCACCCCTGGAACTAACATCAAAAGGATTCTCTCTTCTGAGATATGCCATTCGATCTTCACACATTAATTTCCACCTCTGAATATGCCAGAATCTGGAATTCTAAGTCATTGTCATGAAGATTATGGCCTTAACATCGCGCTTCAATTTTATTACTAAGTGAGCCAGCATCTCAGGTGGCAAGTTAATGGATTCATGCGGGAGGAATCCAGGGTTTAGGGGAAGGCAATCATCTTTAGAACATATGCATTTTCTAATGTTTTTGAAAGTTCACCTTTCTAGAGAGAACATGTATTAGGCTGTGCCCCGGGCAATAGGTCAATCCTTGTTCCTCTCTGGAGTGTCTTAAGTCCAGTACTTAACGTGGCTGACTTCCTCACCCTCTTTGGATCTTTGCTCACTTATCACTCTTGCAGTGAAGCCCCTCCCTGAGAACCATGTTTAAACTTGAATCTCTCATGAGCACTCTCTGTTCTCCTTTCCTGCATTTTATCCATGGTGCTTATGACATATTTCAATATAGCAAACATTCCATATATTTTATTTATTTATTTTGTTTGTTCTCTTCTCCACTAGAGTATGGCTGTGGAGAGAAACTGCCTGCTTTGTTTACAACTCTATCCCCAGTGCCTAGAGTAAAGCATAGCAAATAGCGGGTACTCAGTAACTATATATTGAATTAATGAGTGGATGAATATTAATAGCAATACCTTACTCTTGTGTTCCAATCAATATATTCTATGAAAATTAATCTTGTTAGCACTTGAAAAATTCTGGTATAAAATGACCAGGTGTTTTTCTCCTAGCTCTGGATGTATTTAGAGTGAATGCTAACCTTACAAGTTCTCTAGTAATTAAATATATGTGTATCATAAAAATGTTTTATAATCAGTCTTCTATAGCAGAGGAGTTGTGCATGTAAAAATTAGACATTCCATATAAACTCTTTAGATCTTTATTGTAACTTTTTTTCATGACTAAAGATATCAATGTAGACTCAACTGACTTAGATAATCCTCAAAGCATCATCAGAACTAAAAACTAATGGTCAAAGGCTGTTGTTTTTATATAATTATGATAGGAGGGTTATGGCTACTAGTAGTTTGGGCCGGAAATTATGATAGTCACTGTTCTAAACCTAATAAGACATGGAGGTATCTGTATATATAATGTGGCATTTTGATTTTTCATGTCTCCCAACTCCAAGCTTTATTCTTGGCTATGTATGAGAAGTGTTCTAGATGAAGGATATTGTTGAATTCTCTATCTGTAGTTCATCATTCTAAGAATGCCTGATGTTCTGAATCAATGTACAGTTTAGCTGAAGCAATGAAGTTCTGATGCATCAGTATACTGGACCACGTTGCTCTTTCATGAAATTGTGCATGTTATTGATTGTTAAATATGCCATCTTACTGAATACACTAAAACTTTTGTGTGGAAATTTTTTAGAATATGAATAAATTCATTTGTATACATAAGGTATATAAAATAACAGTGGTTGACTAAAAATTTGTTACTTGTAGACAGTTTGTTTTAATTGAGTTGTCTCAGGTTTTTAACATACATACCCTATTTATGTATATGAAGTATATGAACTGGTGTCAATCTATTTTAAGTATTAGTAAAGTATTTTAAGTTTAAGTATAGGTAAAATACATTTTTTTGTCACTCTGTGTAATAAATGATCTTGAGTATTTCTTAAGGTGCCTATACTCATTTTGGAGGCCACAGGGATGGATCATTGATCTAGAGGTCAGGAAACTAATTTATCTCTGTTGCTGGTTTGATGGAAGTGTTAAATAAGATAATAAGGGGAAGTGTCTAATATAGGGTCTGGCAGCCATAGACACAACTTTTATCAATACCTTTGCTTTGGTTTCCCAGTGAGATGATAACTACTCCATGTCTTTCAAGTGGAAAAGTGGCCTAAATATCAAAAATTAACTCTTGGCCAAATAAACTTTTATAAAACAAATAAATTCTTGGCAAATGCCTATGATATTATGCTCTTTCCCAATGTGAGATGAGTAAGCGTTGCCTCAGACATTTTTTTTAATAGTTACATTTTCAAAGTGGATTAGGAAAATATGACTTGTACATCAAAGGCGTGATTTCATGAATATTATTCAGCATGAAACTAAATAAACATTTAAGTAGGAAAAAATATTCCATTAAGAGCTTTATGACTTGAGGTGAATCACTTTATTTGTCCAAGCCTATATTCTCATCTATCAATGGTGATCACATTTACAAACCTGTGACAGTACGTCCTTTGGAAAGAAGAACCCAAGATGGAGTTAGAAGTACAAGCAATTTATTGGAGGAAATGGCTGTAAAAGATAAAGAGGAGAGGGAGAAATAAGCAAGATTAGGTAGGAAGAGTTGCAGACTGTGTTCTAGTCTGAGAAAGTCTCAACCAGCTTACCAGGGAGCTCAAGCACCGAGATTGTCCATAGAGGAGTCCCACACCAGCTGGAAAGGATGAGCCTTTGTACCAACACCGTGCTCAGTTATTGGCTGTGGATTGCCCAGAAAGAGTATGACCTCGGCTTGTTGGCTTAAAAGCTGAAGGGCAATCCCGAAGACACCTGCAACTGGAGCCTGTCAAATAACTGCACTCTGTGGGTGGTTCTCTGTGGGAAATCCGAACAACACACTTGGTTACTACCACTTTCTGCCCCTTGTGCCAAATAAGTCCTGTTCTCCATACATGTCCTGGGAGCCACTTCTCCAGGGTTCCAGTGGCCCTCTTGTCCTAGGGAAGAATTAGAAGAAGAGAGTTAGTGAGACAAACTGCTAGCCCCATCACTGCAGTTGTATTGGGGCCATAACTAGTTCTCATAATCTCTCTCTGCGATTATCCATTCTGAACTCCCCCAGCAGCTACCACCTACCTTTCCAGGTCTTGGTCGCTTATCTGACGTCGTGACCTGAACCCTCATCCCTGAGTGATCTGAATCCCTGGCAACAATACCTTTTTCAAGTGGGGGTGACTGCACTTGTCCATTCACAGTAAGAGTTGGGCAAGGAAGTACTGATAAGGTACCCAGGTGGGTCACCTGAGTTCCATACACATTCCTCCCTGTCTCCATTGTGTAATATCAGCCCTACCACTTCCTGACCAGGATCAAATACCTCTGCCAAGATGGTGAATCTTTATTGCCTGCTGGTTTCTAAAGAGTCCAACGTGCCTCAGCAGAAGCCACAGCTTGTAGTTCAATGAGACCTTTGCTCTGTCACCTGATAAGAATGAGCCTTTGGGGATCAGAAAGGTAACCATGAAGAACCACAGGTGGCACCAAGTCCACAGTGAGTCATGGGGAGATGGTACATGGGGGCTATTCCTGCTTCCATCTCTTTTTTCCCAGCCTCATGAGTTCTTTTGAGGACACAATGCCCTGTAGAAGTCTCAGATTCAGTGTGTATCTGATATCTAGGAAGATGGCTCCCACTCCTCACAGAGTACTGGCTCTGTGCTGGTGCTTCAACTGTGCTTTCAACAGGCCATTCCAACACTCGCTCAGGGCAGCTGCTTCTGGATGGTGCAATATATGGTATGACCAATGACCACAGTCATAGGGCTATCTCTCTGGTTAGATGCTATGTTGAGTGGGATTCCATGCTTATGGATAAAGAACACCATAATCTCATTGTGCAGGAGTCTATACATATTCTCACCTCAAGACACTTTTCCTTCCACAAAAGGTGCATGAGATAAAACTCATAAGAATAGTAAATCCTCATGACCTTGAATTCAACAATGAATTTGCAGATATGACACCAAAAGCAAAGCAACAAAAGAATAAATAGATGAATTGAACTTCATCAAAATTCAAAACCTCGTGTGCATCAAAGGACTCTATCAAAAAAGTGAAAAGACAGAGAATGGAAAAATGCAAATCATGTATCTGGTAAGAGTCTAGTATCCAGACTATAAAAAGAACTGTTACATCTCAGCAACAAAAAGACAAGCAACCCAATTTAAAAATGGGCCAAGGACTTGAATGGACATTTCTCCAAAGAAGATACACAAATAGCCAACAAGTACTTGGAAAGATGCTAAACATCATTAGCCACCAGGGAACTGCAAACCAAAACCACAATGAGATACCACTTCACACCCCCCAGGATGGCTGTAATTTTTTTAAAAAGGAAAATAAATTGGAAC